CTGGCAGAAAGGTGTGAAGGAATGTGGTATATGGCATGGTTGTAAAGTTTGCTCCGGCCATTTGGCCTTACCATTTGGCATTGCAACAGGAAATAAGACACAGCATGTTATCAGAAAGACATCACAGGAGAAGGCAGGAGACTTTTAGGAATCAATATTTCTATACATGGTGTTTGCTAAATTGAGGCTATTATATGAGGACAAGAGTCACTGGAAAAAAACAATAATGCTAGGAAAAGTGGAATGCAGCAGGAAAAGAGGAAGACCCAACATACAATGGATTGATTCAGTCAAGGAAGCAAGAATTGAGCAAGGCTGTTCATGACAGGATGTTTAGGAGGACATGAATTCATAGGGTCACCATAAATCTGAAGCAACTTGATGGCATTTAATAAGTGTGTGTGTTATGTGCAGTCAACTTCCGACTTATGGTGACCCTATAAATTAAAAGTCCTCCAAAATGTCCTGTCATTAGCAGCCTTCCTCAGGTCTTGCAAACAGAGGGCCCTCGTGGCTTCCTTGATTGAGTCAATCCATCTCATGTTGGGCCTTCAACTTTTCCTAGCATACTAAAAATTGCAACTGAGGAAGCAAGGTCTAGTCCACGAAAGCTAAGTCTTCAGGAAATGGCTCAGTGGGAAGCTTCCCGGTCACTTAAAGGGTCCCAAGATGCCCTCTTACCTGTCAGCAAATACTAAGCAATTTTCTTCTTGCTGCTGTTCACCTTCACATGGTTTCCCTCCATGAAGTGGTGAGGGATTGTTACATACTCGACTCCGGCGTCTCTTATGAGAAGCGTCACAGGGACTCCATGCAGACCAACAGCTCCAATAACCATCCACGGCAACTGAAACACATCAAAAGAATCCATGAACAGGTCTGAATTAACCACATTGCTGATGAGAACATAACAGATGCCCGGGCAATGTAGCGTAATGCAGAACATGGTTGCGGAGGCTGCATTACACTACATTATTTTCTTGAAATAATTCCTTATTTGTTCTATGTAAATGTTAAAAATTGTTTTACTTAAACATTAAAAGCCCTGACCTGGATAGATCTGGATAGCCCAGGATAGCCCAATCTCATCTGATCTTGGAAGCTAAGCCAGGTTGGCCGCTGTTAGTATTTGGTTGGGAGACCACCAAGGAATACCAGGGTTGCTGCAGAGAGGCAAGCAATGGCAAACCACCTCTGAACATCTCTAGCTGTGAGACTCCTACAGGGTGTCCTTAAGTTGGCTGCAACTTGATGACACACTTTGTACCACCATCACCAAATGTTAAAAAGATTTCACATCCCACCTTTTTTCTTAGAAACATGGTGACTTACAATGTGCCATTTGGCAACCCTAATTCAAATACCCCAGGCCAACCCCCATACTGACTGCAGAGTCACCCCTGAATGGCCATAAAATGCAGACAGTACCATAAAACCGAGCGATCAAAAGACGAGTCACCCCTGAATGGCCATAAAACGGCCATACATCTATGCAGACAGTACCATAAAACTGTGAGAACAAAATAAGTGAAACCGGCATGCAGTGTGGAGGTTTCCATAAAACCCGATAATCAAAGAAAGTGAAAGTGGCATGCAGCGTAGAGGGGAATTTCTGTTCCAGCGTGGGTTTGGTAAAACAGCGGAGTGAATGCTAGATGCAGAATGGGCCTAGTTTATATTGCTAGAGTGACAATACTTGTATCACTACTGCACATACCGGATGTGTAATTAGATGCCCGTATCTCACAGTTATCACCATAGGTTCCAGCCTGGCACACACAGAGGCATTCAGTCCCAGACAGCACAGGCCTGCCGTTGTTAGGACATGGAGCACACCGACATGGATCAAATCTTTCCATGTATTCAATATAAGCTTTTCTAAGGTTATGACGCTTTGTCACTGGGCATGGGAAGTTCTTCACCAAATCCAAAATGGAGGCCAACTAAAAAGCAAGCACACACAAGGAAATCAAGAGTACGATCATATATATTCCATGGATGGCCATAGTTTCACCATGGGGCAAGCATAGCATGTAGTGTTCTAAGAATCTGATCTGTTCTTGTATTTTAAAGTAACTCGCTGTCATGGTTATGAAGACACTTGGGAAAATCCACAGGCCATTGTTATTAAATTAGATAGGAGTGCTGATGTCACTGTGACCAGCTGCCTGAGGGCCTGTACCAGTTCTACATACCTGATATTCTTGTACACATTGGGTTGCCAGCCTCCAGGTGGGGCCTGGAGTTCTCTCAGAATTAAAGCTGATATCCAGGCAGTGGAGAACAGTTGCCCTGGAGAAAATGGCTGCTGTGGAGGGTGGACTCCCCCTGGGGTCTCACCTCTCCCCAAAACCCCATCCTCCTTAGTAGGGTTGCCAAATCGGGCCGGGGGGCGGGGAAACCCCCACTTTGGAGGCCCGATTTCCGCCACGGCTGAATTGGGCCCCGGGGGAACCCCGCCCCCGGCGTGCGCATCACTAGGAAGTGACGTGGGCACGCCGGGCACGCTGGGGGCGGGGCCATGACCATACAAGGGAAAACTCTATGGTTTTCCCTTGTATGGCCGTGGCCCCACCCCCAGCGTGCCTACGTCACTTCCGGGTGACGCGCGTGCGCGCGCATTCACCTAACACCGGCCGGGAGCCCCCTGCTCCTGGCGAAGACTGATTTGGCAACCCTACTCCTTAGACTCCACCCCCAAAATCTCCAGGTATTTCCCAACTCAGAGCTGGCAATGCTACATGATGCTCTAGTAGACATCCTGCATATCTGACACTTTCTTATGGAATCTCCTCAATATCTGACTGTCGAATTTAACCTTTGGGTCAAAATTCAAGATTGTAGTCTAGATGGGACTATAAAGATTTCCCCCCTTTTTTGATTATTCATATTTCTCTGGTTTTTATAGATTTATTTATTGGGATGTCATGAAGGCCTGTTATACAGAAGGCCTCTCTTTCTTTGTAGGTCAGGTTATTTTTCCAGCTGATGTTAACAGACAAGACAACAGCATTCTTTTGGTACAGAAGGAGGTATAAGGTCCATAGTTCTAATTGTTTAGGTTATAACTTCATAATGTCTGGGTCAAAAAGGATTTTTAACTTGGTATCAGAGAAATACACCTTTGTTTGGGTGAGAACAAGCCTTGGCCGATACGACTCAAGTCAGGTCAAGTAAATACATAACATTATTGTATAGACACACCTTTCTTATTTTTGACCAATAAGGAGATTTTCATTTAAATGTTGTTTAATTATTGATAACCAATTATGCTTTCTGAATATTATTTTCATGATGATGGTATGATGATGTCATATTAAGTATTTAACTTCATGTATTTCCTGGTTGGGCTCAGAAAGCAGTCAATTTCGATAGGTCATCTGGCTGTTTTCCATGTTTGATTGCAAATAAATACAAGATCTTCCTCCTCGTTTTGACTTCAATCTCCTATTTTTGACTGGATATTAATTTGTATAACAAGATGGCATAATTCAAGGTATCTGTCCCAGCTAGGATTTTGGGTCAGCAGACCAAGGCGGGCCAAGATTTTGACGGAGAAAGGAACAGTTTGATTAGGCCAAAACCGCCAATAAGATTTGATACAGATTTTCCAGAGACTGAATAGACAATAAGCCATTGCATTCTTTTTTTAAAGACAACATCTCTCAAATTTAGTAAATTCAATTAAAAAAATTAACGCCCCCCCCCAAAACAGAATGAAACAAACGATTTTATTTACTTCATTTAGACTCTGCCTTTCATCCTAAAGCAGTTAATGTCATTCTCCTCTCCTCCATTTCATCCTCACCACAGCCCTGTTAAGATAGTGTGTGTCTGGCCCAGCATCGCCCAGTAAATTTCTCTGACACAGCAGGGATTCAAATCCATGGTCTCCCAGATCCTAGTCTGACACTCGTATCCATGCACCACACTAGGGATGCCAGCCTCCAGGCAGGCCCTGGGGATCCCCCGGAATTACAGCTCATCTCCAGACTATAGAGATAAGCCCCCCTGGAGAAAATGGATGCTTTGGAGGGTGGACTCTATGCCATTGTACCCCACTGAGGTCCCTGTCCTCACTAGGCTCCATCCCAAAATCTCCAGGAGTTTCCCAATCTGGATCTGGCAACTTTGTGCCCCTCATCACTCACTGGTAGCCAGGGGGACTGGCAACCCTTATACCACACTGGCTCCCCAAAAGAAAAAATAAGGACTTTGTTGTTGAAGGTTAGAAAGACCTTCGTCTTCTTTGCAAATCTGCACCCACCCAAACCTACAACACAATTGATTAAGTCAGATTCTTCCATTGTTCTACATTAAATATATGGCAAATATAGAGTTACCCATCTCCAGGTGGTAGCTGGAGATCTCCTGGAACTACAACTGGTCTCCAGGCAGCGCCGTAGTCAGGATTTTTTACTTTGGGGGCTGTGTCAGGAGCGACGAGAGAGTAATTTTTTTTAAAAAGCAACGAGATAGAGAGAGGTGCAAGGGTGCCGGCAGGCAGAGCAGGGTGATGGCTTGGCAAGGCCATGGCAATGAAAAATAAAATAAAATAAACCAGCTGCATAGGAAGTCGAGAGGCCTGGATGGTAAGTCGGGGGGCCCAGCTGTAGCTACAGGCCTGTCTCCAGGTGACAGAGATCAGTTCCCCTGGAGAAAATGGCTGCTCTGGAAGGTGGACTCTATGGCATTATACACTTCTGAGGTCCCTCCCCTCCCTCAATCCTGCACTCCTCTGGCTCTACCCCAAAAATCTCCAGGAATTTTCCTACCCAAACATGGCAACCCTAGGTAAATAGTGTATTAACTGTATATGGTATCCACAATATTTACAGTCAAGTTAAGAAACACTTTTACTAGTAAAAACTTGTTTGTTTCAGATAGATGGACAGATAAATAGATAGATAGATGATAGCTAGATAGATAATGAGAGAGAGGGGGGGGTAGGCCCATCAACAGCTACTAGCCATGGTGACTAAAGGCAACCTCTACACTCAGAGACCATTAACCCTCTGTATATCAGGGCCAAGAGGCAATGTCATAGGAAGGCCATGGCTTCTGTGCCTTTTTTATTTGCCCTTTATGACAATTGGCTGACCACTTTGTGAAACATGATCCTGGACCAGCTGGAGCACTGGTCTGATCCAGCATATCAGTTTTTACGTTCAACCTGTTTAGAAAAGAAACAACAATATCTTTCACTAGCTGGAGCACTGGTCTGATCCAGCATTTCTTACGTTCAACCTATGTTTAGAAAAGAAACAACAATATCTTTCATGTGCAGAATCAACCATTCTTCCAGTTTCAGTCTCTCTCCCATCTCTGAAGACCCTTCCCTACCTCAAAGTCAATGACTATTGGGCTGTCCTTGGTCGACTCCAGCCAATCCGTGTACACACTCTGTTCTGGGAAAGATCGCATTTTCCCCCAAGCAAGAGCCGTAGCATATAGCACCCTCCCACCTTTGACCAGTGAAAAAGACTTCTCAGAGGCCTGTAGAAATGAACCTGTAACAACACCCAGAATTACCATTTTTCCCCACAAGTTTGGCCACAACATGCACAACCAAACTTATAGCTTCCGTTCCTATTCATAAGAGAAAACGGAACACACTTTGCAGATCACACTTCGTGCAGGTAAGTGTGCGTGTGAGGGTGTCAGAGATTTCTTTCCTTCCTCCAAAGGCATTCCAATTCATAAGAGAAAATGGAACACACTTTGCCGATCACACTTCGTGCAGGTAAGTGTGTGCGTGAGTGAGTCAGAGATTTCTTTCCTTCCTCCAAAGGTGAGAGCGCCTGAACCCACGATGCAAGGAGGAATTGGGAAGGAGCTGATTTGCATCAGCAGGTGGAGGTGAGAGCCAGATATCATGACGCTGCCACCTTTGTGATGCTGTTGGGGTGGGGGGAACTAAGGCCATATAAGGGACAGCATGTGCCCCGCCCCCATCTCTTTTTGAGGCACTCACTCTCTGTCCTTTTATTTCTCCCCATAGCAGATGGGCGCCCTGACTTAAATAGCTCAGGCCAGCTCAGTCGTCTCAGATCTCGGAAGCTAAGCAAGGTCGGCCCTGGTTAGTATTTGGATGGGAGACCAACAAGGAATGCCAGGATCGGGACGCAGAGGCAGGCAATGGCAAGCCTCCTCTGAACGTCTCTAGCCTTGAAAACGCAATGAAGGATTGCCATAAATCAGCTGTGACATGACAGCATGGCAGATTAGCCCTAGCCTGGGTGGGGTTTTTTCATCCACTCTACTCTGAAAAGGGCAACAGGACATCCACCAGTTTTAGTAATACCCAGACACTGGTATTCCATGATGGCAATAGCAGTGCAGGTCAAGTTGCTGGAACGGTACACAGTACAGCTTAGGTGAGTGCCCTGCAGCATCATTTGGATGGTGAAGGGTTGATAGGGCTGCCAAGTCCCCCCGGGGGGCGGAAAACCCCCTGCCCCAGAGGCCCGTTCCCCGACGCCGGGGAATCGGGCCCCGGGGGGAACCCCGCCCCAGCGTGCACGTCACCCGGAAGTGACATTATGATGCTGGGCATGCTGGGGGTGGGGCCACGGCCATACAAGGGAAAACTCTATGGTTTTCCCTTGTATGGTCGTGGCCCTGCCCCCAGCGTGCCCGGCGTCATGACGTCACTTCCCTGTGGTGTGCATGTGGCGTGCGTGCGCTGTGCGCGTGCCGGGATCCACACAGGAGTCCCCCGCCGGCAAGGTAAGTGCCACCTGGCAACCCTAAGCGTTGACCCTTAGTCCAGGCCCAAGGCCTCAGTGCCTTCATGGACCTGGGACAGGAAGCCCTTGGGGGATGTCGTTATCCTCAACCTACAGACCCTGTGGCTAGAGGGTCAGGAAGTGGCACACCTCCCTCGAGCATCATGAAGGCCTGGCAAGGAGGAGACTGAGCCGTACATATGTGACAGCCCATGACTCGGAGCCTGGGGGGGCCTCGCCCATAAATTCAGTGATGCGTGGACAAGAGGAGGCCTGACTCTGCATCCCACCAATGTTCCCGCACTGTGTCTAGGTCTGGAACCAGGTTTTGGCCTGCACCTTTGATCAATGTGAACAAGTAAAATAACTAAACTTGGCCCTTTTAGTACCCAACAGAAGGTGTCAACTGTCTGGATGAAAATTTCCCTGACCTCAGACACTTCCCCCGAACTGCTGTTTAGCCAATAGGTGAAAACATACATGTTGTCCATACTTTTTTCCAGACAGCAGTTTCAGGGGATGATTTGAAATGAAGGGAAAGGTATGGGAAGAGTTGAAGGAAAAAATCTCCCCATGGCTCTTGTTTACCAACACAAAAGGCACGGCAGATCCCATAACGGATCTTCCAGCCTCACTCTGGTAACAGGCATAGAATACAGCATCCAGAGAATTTCACTTTTCATTTTCTTCTAGCCCTCAAGACCTGTCGAAATTTGAGAAGCCAGAGGCAAAGAAATGTTATCACCGGGATGGGCTTCCATACTAAAGAAGGACATTTCATTTCCTCTATTCGAATGACTGGTTGTAAATAAACTATATTAAGCAAAACAGGTAAAGTTATACAAATGCTCTTAAATGTAGACAAGTTGTAGAATAATGCTGTCCTTGGCACAACACCTGGATTACTCTGGGGAAGAAGTTCATTTTTTTTAAAGCTCGTAATACATCATGAGCTTTAATACATTTAATACATTGAGCCGCGGTGGCTCAAGTGGTTAAGAGAGGTTGTGTTGTCTGGAGGGCTCCTATGTACCGTGAGAGACTCCTGGTTCTCAGCTTTAGCCACCTAACGGTTGCCTGACTTATCCCGCACGCGGGAGGGTCCCTAATTGGCCAATGCCTTGGGGGGGTGCATACGAATACCCTATATCCTATTATGCTCTACTGGCTGTGGCCATTCCTAACAGTGCCTGTGTTACTGCATCTATAGCTTTGCAATAAAAGTATAACCGTTCCTGAATGCGTGTACTTTGTTGTTAGCTATGGGTTCTAACAATGCTGTCCTTGGCACGACACCTGGATTACTCTGGGGAAGAATTTCATTTTTTTTTAAAGCTCGTAATACATCATGCCCTTTAGAGAGGCATGTGACAGTACTACCCGACTGGCTGGAAGGAGACAGGATGCTGAGGCAGGCTGACCACTGGTTGGATTCAGGATGGCAATCTTTGCAGTTTGATATTCACCATGGCAGACTCCTGGTCTCTTACGCAGGCCAGATGGAAATACACAGCCTTTCATAGTCACCTTTATGTTTCTCAGCCAGGCTACTGTTGGTGCATTTTGTAGGCACTTTATTTTTCTTTATGAAAAAGAAAAATCTTTTGGCTTCCGTCAGAACACAGTCACTTGCTTCTTCCTCTGTTAAACCTAGGGGAAAACAAATGCGATTCCTAATCTATTTGAACATTCACAAAATGATTTACAGTTTCTATTTCTCCCACTGCAAAACTGCCCACCCCGTCAGCAGTGTTCCCTCTAAGCTGAGTTAGTGTGAGCTAGCTCACAGTTTTTTAGCCTCTGGCTCACACATTTTTGTCTTAGCTCAGGAGGATGGCTCCAGAGCAAACTAATTTATGCAGTGGCCAAATCGCTCGCTCACAACTTTAATGCCAGTAGCTCATAAAGTAGAATTTCTGCTCACAAGACTCTGCAGCTTAGAGGGAACATTGCGTCAGTTAAGTTAGGTCAGTTTTACAGACGAAAGAAAGAGGCTGAAGAAGAACTTCTCACCTAGAAAAGTCTCATGAGTCCAGCCACAGATAGAGAAAGAGAAGGAAAGAATTTCTGGGCTGCTGATGGACACCTTAAGATCTGGTCCCTGACCATCCCCAGGCATGCGGCGCATACTGAATTCTAACCACTTGTACTGTGCACAGGCAATTGTGTGCTGGCAAACAAAGCTTGCCAAGGATCAGTTCAGCAGCAGCACAAGTGTTCTGAAGGCATCATCAGCTCAAGAAGAGGCACACACATTAGTAGAGTAGCCAACTCCACTTTGCATATGGATGCTAGCCTCCAGGTGGGACCTGGGGATCCACTGAAATTACAGCTCATCTCCAGACTACAGAGCTCAATTCCCCCGGTGAAAATTGATGTTTTGGAGGGTGGACTCTATGGCATTGTACCCTGCTGGGATCCCTGTCCTCCACAGGCTCCATCCTCAAATCTCCAGCAGTTTCCCAACCTGGATCTGGACTCTCTAACCCCCAAACCCCTGCCATTGCCCAGGGGGGACCTGGCAACCCTATATTTGGAGTCAGAACCTGGGAAGGGCGGGGGTTGGGGAGAGAAGGGAGCTGAGCAGGGATGAGATGCCACAGAATCCAGCTTCCACAGATACGCCTCCCCCTGCCTTTTATTGACAGAAAGTTGAGCACCAGCCACACTGTTGTGGTTGCCCAACAATAGCCAGAGGCCATTTGTTTATTAAATCTACAAGCATTGTTCTATTATTTTTTGGGGGGGTCCTTAACTCCCCAGAGGGCTGCGGTGGCTCAAGTGGTTAAGACACTTAACTGCAGACCGGAAGGTTGGTAGTTCGGCAGTTCGAGACCCGAGTGCTGCATGATGGAGTCTTTGGTCCCAGCTCCTGCCAACCTAGCAGTTCGAAAGCAAGAAACTGCAAGTCGATAAATAGGTACCACTTCGGAGGGAAGGTAACAGCATTCCGTGCGCCTCGGTGTCTAGTCATGCCGGTCACATGACCATGGAAACGTCTTCGGACAGTGCTGGCTCTTTGGCTTGGAAACAGAGATGAGCAGCACATCCCTAGAGTCGGACTTGACTGGCTTTCGAGCAATGGAAACCTTTACCTTAACCCCCCCGAGTGTTGTTTTTTTAAATCAGATTTTTCTGCAAACCTAGGGCTTTTCTCAAGTTTACAGAAATATATATCTGTCTTGTCTGTCCATGGCCCCAGTCTCAGGATTTAAGTATCCACAGATGGGGATACTTGAATTAAATGTATTGAGAGCCAGCCGCAGACTCTAAACTGGAGATCTGGGTTTGATCTCCCTCTCCTCCACATGAAGCCTGCTGGTGACCTTAGGCCAGTCACGGTGGTCTCAGAACTCTCCCAGCCCCACCTACCTCACAAGGTGACTGTTGTGGGGAGAGGAAGGGAAGGCCATTGTAAGCCGCTTTGAGATTCCTTAGGGTAGAGAAAAGCAGAGCATGAAAACCAATTCTTCTCCTTCATAGTGTGTAAGAAAATCCAATATTCCATTTAAACAAGGTTGAGGGAGCGTTTCATTTCATGGTGCATTCTAAAATGGCACTTCCACATTGTATAAAAGTTTACAGAAATATATATCTGTCTTGTCTGTCCATGGCCCCAGTCTCAGGATTTAAGTATCCACAGATGGGGATACTTGAGTTAAATGTATTGAGAGCCAGCCGCAGACTCTAAACTGGAGAACTGGGTTTGATCTCCCTCTCCTCCACATGAAGCCTGCTGGTGACCTTGGGCCAGTCACAGTGGTCTCAGCCCCACCTACCTCACAAGGTGACTGTTGTGGGGAGAGGAAGGGAAGGCCATTGTAAGCCGCTTTGAGATTCCTTAGAGTAGAGAAAAGCGGAGTATGAAAACCAATTCTCCTTCTCCTTCATAAGTGTGTAAGAAAATCCAAGATTCCATTTAAACAAGGTTGAGGGAACATTTCATTTCATGGTGTGTTCTAAAATGGCACTTCCACATTGTATAAACAGGCACTGGGAACTGAACGATAGTGTGAAGCCTCTTTTACAGACTGCCTCCTTCAGCAAAGAATCTCAGTTCCTTGAGTCCC